ATATGATAAGTTCCGAGCCTTGTGCACTTGTGGGACCCGTCTCACGAGTGCACGGCGTCTGCCACGTCCCTGGATTTGGGTTCTGGGGCGTGACAATAAGGATGAGAGAGTTTTTCGTTCAATTAACTTTTCTTTTCTTTACCTTATTTTTTTTTCAAATTATGTCAGCATAGGACCCACATTAAATTGTAAGGGCAGTAGAATTCCTACTCACAAAGATCCAGGCTGGCATTGTCAACACATAAAATGTCTAATGTGGTACTAACATGTGCATGTATGAGGGAGGCCAACAACGCACATGCTTCATGTGACCCTTTGATATTAAATATTGCCTTATTATCTTAAACTTGAAAAATAAGAGGGTAAAACTTATATATTGTACAATGAAGGGTAAAATCCCTCAATGCTAAAATGTTAAAGCGCAAAATGTGGGTTTTTGCCTAATTAAGTGTTCTATCATTATTTCTTTGCATAAATAAAACTACATTGTAATAAAATTGTTTATTTTTCATTTCACTAATTTATTTTTCTATTATTCGCTTCATGGTGTTTTTTTTTTCAACAAACCTTTCTTCTTTTCTTTTTTTTTTCTCCATTTTAACCTCTGGCTTCCAAATTTTTTTGCATAACTATTTTTTCCTAATAATAATATGGTGAATATTTCAAGAATTAAATCCAAAACTTGACCAAATTGCACCCAAAAATTATTCCTTTTTTTAACCCAAACCCCCAAATTATTAAGGAAGTTAATTTCCAAATGACTTTCACTTAAAAGCCAATCTTAATTCATTGTTTACTATACAAATTGTTGAAGGATAATTATGTAATTTGGAAATTATTTAAACCCTTTCCTTCCCTTTATGTTGCTTAATCAAACAAAAAATAATATAATCCTTCCCTTTCCTTTCCTTTACTCATTTTTATTTATCCAAACAAAATTAACACAAATTATTTCTTTCCTTTTCTTTCCCTTCCCTTTCTCTCCCTTCCCCTTCCTTTCATTTTACTCCATTTCTCTCCCTTCCCTTTCCTTTACTATTTCTATCCAAATGTAATGTTAAAATTTTAGACTGATACAAGTCAAACTGTTTTGTTAAATCAAAACAACCAATATATAAATAGAAACCCACACAAATGGAAAATTTTTAACGAGTACTTCCGGACTGCCACACAATGGCCGTGGCTCTTTGTGGGTTTTGGGCAACCCAAGTCACAGATGATAAGTACAAAGGAATAGATGAGTTTTCTGTTTATCAAGTCAACCAGGTGAGTTTATTTCTTCAACAGGAAGCTGATTAACTCTTTGTTGGGTTGTTAAGCTTGTAACTCAAAACTCAAATTTAAAGATTTGGGTTGGAGAATTTAAAGATTGTAGCTCGTAGGTTTGATTTTTGGGCTAAAGTATACCTTTAGCCCCTCACCTTAATAGATTTGAAAGTTTTAGTTTCTCACCTTATACTATGAAGTTTTTAGTCCCTAAACTTAAAAGTTTGAAGATTTTAGCCATTAGACAATGGAATCCATTAACTCTCCGTTTGAAATGAGAATAAAATATTTATAAGATCAGTCATAAAAGATTAAAAATATAACAATTTAGTCTCAAAGTTTAAAAATTAAAAAAATTAGTAAATTAAAATAATTATAGGATGTTTTTGTCACGTACATAAGAACAATATTAGATATTTACAATCAAATCAAGTTTCTAGCTCAATCTAAAGAAAGAAATTTGATTGAGATTAAATAAAATTTTTTAGTTGTATTCTTTTAATCTCTTGAACTTTTTGTTTTAACTGAGAAATTTTCTTTAATTTTAGTTAGAATTTCTTCTTTAAATTGAGCTAATGACTTGATTTATTATAGATATCTAATATTGTTCTCGTGTATGTGGCAAAGACATCTACTAAGTATTTTTAATTTAATAATTTTTTTAATTTTTAAAATTTGAGGAATAAATTGTTATATTTTTAATCTTTAAAAACTGATCTTATAAATATTTTATTGAAAGTTAACGATTTCATTAGTCTAAGGGCAAAAATCTTTAAATCTTTAAATCTTTAAATCTTTAAGTTTAGAGGCTAAAAACTTTATAATATCAGGTGAAGAGTTAAAATCTTGAAACTTATTAAAGTGAGGAACTAAAATTATACTTTAGCTGCTTTTTGTATGTAAATCAATGCTCATATGGAACTCGAATTAGTTCAGATCTAATTTGTAAATGACGTGGACATTTGAAAGTTGATTTAGTAAGGGTTTTACTAAAATTTAACGCTTTATATTAAAGTATAAGTTAAAAGTATATTTATTATATATTTTTATCATTAATTTATGTAAAAAATATAAAACTAAACTTTATTTTAATACTAATATTATGTAAAATATTTTAATTAAATATTTGACAAAATTAAAGTAAATTTTTATTTTTTATATAAATTAATGATATAATATTTAATAAATATGTCTTTAAAGGGTTAGTACATATTAACCATGACTTTATCCTTACTACTATAATTGAGGGTTGGATTTATATATTCTGCCTTTCTCATTCTCTAGGGCCTGCATATAGAACCAGAAATGTTTCTTACAGTTCATCAATTCTTCACTTTAAAAGATTTATGTAGTGTTGCATCTTTCTCGTGCCTCATATAGTGACTTATTATATAAAAATTACTATATTATAAAAATTATTAATATGTGGACATCTCCTAAGTAATTTGTTCTATCTTTATTGTGCCTCATATGGGGATTTTATGTCAAATTGTATAAAAGTAGCACTACTGCAGGAATGGGATTTCCGAACCGAAA